AGACACTAAGATGACCTGAGATTTGGGACATGCCCTCTCTGTCCCAAGGCAGAGTGAAGAGAGGTTTGCTAACAGGACTGTGGCCTGCAGCTTTTTCCTGGACCACCACACTGTCTATGTGTCCTGGGTGTGAGCCACCTAAGGTGGTCAGTGGCATCAGGAAGCAGATTAAAAAGTCAACTAACAAACCAGCTCCAGACTTAAAAGCATTCAACATCAATAAAAGGAGAAGAGCACATTGAGATTCCCCCTCACGCCCATTAGAACGGTGATCATTTAAAAATCGGGGGACAATGGATGCTGGAGAGGATGTGGAGAAATAGGAACACTTTTACACTGTTGGTGGGAGTGTAAATTAGTTCAACTGTTGTGGAAGACAGTGTGACACTTCCTCAAGGACCTAGAAATAGAAATTCTATTTGACCTAGCAATCCTATTACTGGGTATATACCCAAAGGACTATAAATCTTTCTATTATAAAGACAGATGCACATGTATGTTCATAGCAGCACTGTTTACAAGAGCAAAGACCTGGAACCAACCCAAATGCCCATTGACGATAGACTAGACAAGGAAAATGTGACACATATACACCATGAAATACTATGCAGCCATAAAAAATGATGAGTTTGTGTCCTTTGTAGGGACATCGATTAATCTATAAACCATCATTCTCAGCAAACTGACACAAAAATGGAAAATCAAACACCGCATGTTCTCACTCATAGGTGGGTGTTGAGCAATGAGAACACATGGACACAGGGAGGGGAGCATCACACACTGGGGTCTGTTGGGGGGGTACCAAGGGAGGGATAGCAGAGGGGTGGGGAGGTCGGGGAACGATAACATGGGGAGAAATGCCAGATGTAGGTGACGGTGGGATGGAGGCAGCAAACCACGTTGCCATGTATGTAGCTATGCGACAATCCTGCATGATCTCCACATGTACCCAGAACCTAAAGTACAATTTAAAAAAATTTTTTTAAAAAAGAAAACTAAACCAAAATGATTTTCTATCAAAATAAAGCTATTCAAGGAGACAGACAGTGACATGAATGAGACTTAGTAAGAGGACTTTAAGGAAATTCTTACAAAGCCACAAAAAGACCTTGAGGAGCTAAAAATATGTTTTTTCCCTAAAACTAAAAAATTTAAAAGGAAAGGATTCTTTTTTGCTACTTGAATTTGCACCTGGGAGATCAAGTGAATGAAGTATTTGGCCCACATAGATATAAGTCCTAAATAATAGAAATCAGGAGGGAAATAAAATGAATTTTGAGAATATATAGAGGAGACCTGATGTGAAAGATTGACATTCTAAGAGAATAAAAAGGATGAAGTCAAACAGTAGTGTGTACACAATACATGAACTTCTCCAAGCCAAATAAAAAGTTTGTGTCTGCAGATTGAAAGGGCTTATCATGTTCTATGCAGAATATTGAGATAAGATACACACTTAGGAACAATCTGATGAAAATTCCAAAATCACAGGGAATCTTACAAATTCTGAAAAAGAAGCAATACGGCCAGAAGATACTGGAGTAATATCCATAGTGTACTAAGGGAATAGGGCTGCAAAAAATGTCACCCTTAAAATAAACACAAAATAGAACCTAATCCATCAAGGTAATTCTCTGTTCCAGTTACAACCATCACGTTGCCTAATTTGTTTTCTTCATAGCATTATCAGTCTGTAAAATTCTCATTTGATTTTTGTTTCTATGTTTATTGTCTCTCTCCCTTCCCCCGCTAACATGTAAAATACTCAAACTGCAGGACATTTTTTTCCTGTTTCATTAGCTCTTAAAAGGGTGAATATTAACTGACCATGTGTCCATTTTGAGTTTTAGTGGTTCATTTTTTTGTACAGTGATTTTGAAATAGGTAAAATTTTTCAATTTCTTTTTTTTCTTTCTTTCTTTTTTTTTTTTTTTGAGACGGAGTTTCACTCTTGTTACCCAGGCTGGAGTGCAATGGCGCGATCTCGGCTCACCGCAACCTCCGCGCTCCTGCCTCAGCCTCCTGAGTAGCTGGGATTACAGGCACGTGCCACCATGCCCAGCTAATTTATTGTATTTTTAGTAGAGACGGGGTTTCACCATGTTGACCAGGATGGTCTCGATCTCTCGACCTCGTGATCCACCCGCCTCGGCCTCCCAAAGTGCTGAGATTACAAGCTTGAGCCACTGCGCCCGGCAAATTTTTCAATTTCTAAGTGTGAAACTTTAAAAATGTATTTCATATCAGATTAGTGCCAGAGAAGTAAATCTTGTCTGGCAGGGAGGGGCTGAAAAAGGAAGACATTTTAAAGACCTATGGAAATTTTATTCAACATTTTAACCTTGCAGAAGAAATGTGAAAAGCACTGTCCCAATTATGCCACTATGATGGTATATTTCCTTTTTAATTTCTCATTAAAGTTAAAAAAAAACACCTCCAAATCAAGAATGTTGTCTTTTTCACATATATATGTGTGTTGAAATGAACATACATTCAAATGAATAACTGCTAAGGTGGACTAAGGGATTTATTTGGTTCCATACACAATGATGAACTGCCTCTTATGCAATGACATTATGCTGGATGTTGGCAGTCATCTTTTTGTTTGAGGAGCTCACAGTTTTCTGTGGAAGCTGTAGAGTGATGCTACCTCAGTGCTATCCCTGGGTAGTGAGGAAGAGCCAGGTGGGTCAGAATATGGCTCACTACCAGGACCCCCACAACAAGAAAGTGATATAATCGCTCTAATTTTCCATTTTCTTTTTAGAGAGGATGATACTCATAATACTAAACATTCAATCAGGATTTTTTAAATTACATAGAAAACATGAAAGAAAATGGAACTCTCCAAAATTCTTTAACTTAGATGTAACTGGCCAGGCACACTGGCTCATGCCTCTCATCTCAGCAACTTTGGGAGGCTGAAGTGGGTGGATCACTAGAGACCAGGAGTTCGAGACCAGCCTGGCCAACATGGAAAAACCCCATCTGTACTAAAAATACAAAAAATTTAGCCAGGTGTGGTGGTACATGCCTGTAATCCCAGCTACTCAGGAGGCTGAGGTATGAGAATCTCTTGAACCTGGGAGGTAAAAGCTGCAGGGAGCTGAAATCATGCCACTGCACTCCAGCCTGGGTGACAGAGAGAGACTGTTTAAAAAAAAAAAAAAAAAAAAAAAAAAGAGAGAGAGCTCACATGCCCAGGGTCACTTAAAGTCTAGCTCTCAAGAAAAAATGATTTAAATGAATAAATAAAAGACACTGCAGAAACTTAAAGCAGACTAAAGGAAAGAGGATCTCAACCAGAGAGTGGTTTATAAACAAAAGAAGCTCATGATTTGGACTATAGTAGGCCAGAGGTCCAGTAATGCCGACAGCTGTGTAACCTCAGGTGAATGGTTAAAATTCTGAACTGAACTGTTCCATCTGTGTGACTTGTTCCAGTTACAAGTCTGGCTATTATAAAGTTTTATCAGTAGCATGCAAATCTTTTAGAACACTGGCTAGCACATAATATGCACTCATATATTCTTAATATCTATTGCATTGTTTGTACTTTTAATTTAGCTTAATTTTCCTGGGAGCATAGATTCAAGTTGCCCTTAATATACACATCTATATTATTATATTTTCAAAAGAAAGACTAATGTGCACGTTTTGTGTTTCCCTACCTGTGTACAGTACAGGGGAGAATAGTTCTGTAAGTCCGTTCTCACACTGCTGTAAAGAGCTTCCTGAGACTGGGTAGTTCATAAAGGAAAGAAGTTTAATCAACACAGTTCCGCATGGCTGGAGAAGCCTCAGGCAACTTATAATCATGGCGGAAGGCAAAGGGGAAGGGGAAGCAAAAACCTTCTTCACATGGGAGCAGGAGAGAGAAAAGGAAGAACTTCCAAATACTTGTAATACTGTCAGATCTCAGGAGATACAATAACAGCATGGGGGAAACCGCCCCCATGATCCAGTCACCTCCCACTGGGTCCGTCCCTGGGCACATGGGAATCATGGGGATTACAATTCAAGATGAGGTTTAGATGAGGACACAGAGCCAAACCTTATCAATAGTTGTGCTATTTGTTTTTATCACACTGGGTGGATGGATGCACTGTATTTTGATGACATTTGAGCCTTTAAGCTCCTCAATAAATTTCACTTGTTTAGATTTTATGATCGCCAAGCAAGGAGTATGTATGATATATTCCTAATGCAAATTTTGAATTAATATCCTAGCATTACAACAGTCCCTGTTCCGCAAGAGTCTCATACTAACTAAATTCTCATTAATAGGAGGGAGAGATTATCTGGCTTTGGAGGGCATGAATATTTCTGTTAGTGACAGGTTGTCATTGAAACAGGAAGAAAAAGCAATGGGTATGAAGGGTTTTGTGGCTGTACGTGAGTAATTATGGAGAGACCCTAATAACTTCAAGGTCTGGCCTCCACTGCATGATAGTGTCCTCCTCCTGGTATGTTTGGGTGGGGTCACAAAGCATCAGAAAACTTTCAGCCAGAACAAATTGTCGGGTTGGGGAACTGATAACAGAAATCCAAAGGCTCAATTTTCTCTCTGGTTTCTGTTACTTTCATGGCATAAGTTTTGAAAACTACTGAACTTGTTTTCAAATCTAGGATGCACCTCTTGATACTGACTCTAAACCCTAACATAAATACGTTGCAGTAATCTATTTTTAAATTAAAAATATTATGACACCCTCATTACTTCTTAACCTGATCCATTCTTATGCTTTGTTTCTGGAGAGCTTACCATATCATTTTTAATAATCCATGCTTAAAAACTTGACTTCATTAAATGGGAAATCTACCAATAGTTGTGAAAGGCTAATGGTTTTTATCTTTTTAGTAAAGACAAAATTAAGGAGGAATTTGATAGCGTTATATTTCTTGCTATTGCATTAACAAATTCAGAATACTCCATTTCTGTGTCATTCCCTGTTTCTGATTTTCACTATTAACATTTTGGTGTTTTTCTGGATTTGCAGAACACAGTGATGTAGACCAGGAGACTGCACTGGCAGGTGCACAGGGCTTCACAGGCTGCCTCTCTGCAGTGCAGCTGAGTCACGTGGCCCCTCTGAAGGCAGCTCTGTACCCCAGCCATCCAGACCCTGTCACTGTTACAGGACACGTGACCGAGTCCAGCTGTGTGGCCCAGGCTGGCACGGATGCCACATCAAGGGAAAGGACACACTCATTTGCAGGTGACTTAGGGTTCTTCCTCCACTCCGTCACAAACCCAGCTTGCCCATGGAATTTAGAAAACGTCTCATGTTGCTCTCAGACCACCTTCTCAAGATGGCTTCTTGAAGTTGGTTTTATTTATTTGGCTTTTAGATCTCTTTGCTATTTTTTTCGTAGATGTTCAATTTCTTATTTATGAGGGTCAATACCATTGACATTGCTGAAATTGAAAATAACAGAGATCCCACATTCACCTCCATAATTCTTTTGATTTAAAACACTTACGATTTTTTCAAAATTTCTTCTTTTTGCTTGCCTCTATCACCTTCCCCCTTTGTTGTGCTTTAACTGTAGATCATTCTGGAACAATCGATGACAGAGAGCCCCTTGCTAATGCAATCAAAAGTGACTCTGCAGTAATTGGAGGTAATATGAAGCATGAATGAGCTCTTCTTTGGGTCTTCTAGTTATTAATAATGATGGTGGATATTTAGCATTGTAGAAACTGCAATGAATCTGTACATACTTCAGGTGTCAGGCGCTGAATCCTGAGGACAATGGGGTGATTTACTGTTTGTACTGGATTGTCTTTAAAGCTTCCTAAATTATCTGCTTCCTTGGGGCAGGGACTAAATTTCACTGCTTATTTATTATTTATTTTAAAAATTAAATAAATAATTGACAATTTCACCGAAGCATTGCATTCAGAGATTAATTGCTAACATACATAGTAATGAATATTATCAAGCTTGAAAATAGCCACTTGCAATCACTAGAGAATTCTGAACATGTTTGAGTAAATGTCATTTTTCTTCACTTCTTGGACCTATCACTGCTTCTAGAAAGGGTCATGCAAAAAGCAGAAAAAAACTTGAGATTAACACTAGAAGTATATATATATATTTTGTATTGTCTTAAGGTTTAATAAAGGGAGCATTTGCATAGTAAACTATTTAAAGATGCTTCCTTCAACTAAAGATTATACTTTCAGTTGTGTTTTTTAAAAAATATTAGATTAATGAAGTAAAAGTGATTAGTAATAACTTTAAATTGCAGAATTAACACAAAAACTTTTAAAGTATATCTCCCTGGCAATGTGACAGCATATTCTCTGAGATATATATATATTTTCAAAAGCAACTCTAAAAAACAAGCCTTTTTTCTTCTTAATTAATGCTCTTAAAAATGTTATTAATCAGATTATTGAAATGTTAAGTGGTTCACCTTTCTTTACACTCTGAATATGATATGGAGATATAAAGTAAACAATTATTCTGTTGCATTGCCAGGGAGATATAATTTTAAAGATTTTGTGCCAATAATATGATTATTCATATACTTGGGCAATTTTTATGGCTTTATACCTAATTCATTTAGTTGTATTTGGTATACTCATCTAAACATATTCTGCTTTCAAGAAGTTAGGATTTTATTTAGACAGCAATTACTACTGGTCAAACCTTTGTATAGATATTAACTCCTCCATGCTATTTCAGTTCCTTTCCTATTTCTCAAATTAACAATGTGCAAATTAAAGATATAAAAAATAGGATTCCCATTTAATCACCTAACATGAAAAACAAAAAGCACCCCAAACAAACAACAAAAATCTCTATTTGAAAAGTAGTTAATAATTGGATGTCTAAAAGAAATACATTATACAGTAAAAGCTCACTTAAATCTGTAGTATTTACAAAGTGCCAAGCGTTTAAGCTAGAATTTCTGGTCAAGCAAATTGTCTCAGTCTTATTGCCTTTTCTAGACATTCAACCAGGATAGATTCAAGTAAATACAGGCAGAGAGAGAGACATAAATATAGAGTGGTGTATAGTCATCAAGCCAATGCTAGATCAAAATATTTAATCTTTAGACTATTGTTGTTTTGCTCAGACATCATTGGTAAGATTTACATAGTTAAACAAGAAGTGGGTTGATACCTCATTATAGTGTTTTTCTAGAATAGAAACAAGTTACAGTTCATCTGTGAAATTCATACTTAGCTCAAATTCATATGGCAGAGACAGATACTGTGGAAGGTTTGTAGTTCAGTGGCTTACCAGGGTCCATGAAACTAGTGATGTCTGGTTTTGAAAATTTCAGAGACTGAACTTCAGAAGCAAAGCGTCTGCTAATGGCCCTGCTGCTAAATCACAATGTATCATCCTCCAGTATGTCAGGCAACCTGGTAGAACTGTGGTAGAATTCTTTGTTCTTTGTCTGGTTACTCATTAATTGCACCCACTATGTAATAATAATTAATCCATCCAAGGATCTTCCAAATTGGCAAATCCCCCTGTGTTCTACTTCTTAGATTATTTTTTTTCACTTACAAAATGAATAGTATGTGATTATTAATTTAAAAATACATTTAAAAGTGATGACCCAGATGTGGTAGAGGGTTTATGGCCAGGCTACCCAGATACAAATAGACAGATTTAGCCACAGAGAAAGCTATATATACACATCTTCATAAAAACACATTCACATAGTGCTTTAGATACAGCATCATAGAGGCCGGCCACATTTTATTCATAATAACTATTTTTTATTTTTATATTTTTGGTATAACATGTGTGATCAAAGTTTTTCTTGAGCACAACAAATCCTGGTATAGCACTTTCCCCAAAGTAAGTGCTAAATTACATATATGGAACAAACACGTTCCAGAGACCATCCGTGATTTTGACTGTCTCGATATTCTTTCTAGGCAATGTAATGTCCGTTTTATAATTGCAGTTGTCTGCTGTCTAATCATATTTCAGAAGTTTTCAGATTGAAGTTGTTCAGAATTTTTCTCTTCAAGCCAGAAGCCTATAACTAGCCCTTAGAAATATTTATAGCAATTCAACTGATTATTTTTCTAAAATGAGAGGCAAATATGTAACAAGAAATGTTCTGATTAAAATTATTCATTAATTAACATGACTAATAGTAACAAAAGCAAACATATTTATTAATGAATTCTTTAGATTTAATGTACAGAATTTGGTCACCACATTTATATTAAGCAGCAAGGAATTGTTACCTTTCTCAGGTAAGGTTGACTTAGCCAAAAATTGTCTTGGCCATTGGACATAATATAATTGGCCAGGGTGAAACTGCCTAGCAGATTATATACACAGGAATCTATTGTGATTAATAAAAACCTTCAAATTTTTGATTTCTTGCACTCTGTTATGGTTGTATACATCTAGTTTAGAATGGAGCCTTAGTTTTGCCATATGAGATTTGATTCACATTGCTATTTTCATAATACCTAATTGTATCTAAATATAATGACATTCGTTTGTACCTCCACTGATCTTATCAGAAAATTCTTTAAGTTGTAGACAACTCTCACACTCTTGGTGACAGAAATTAGTTTTCCAAATTCTATTTTTTATTTGAAAGCTTGAATTTTATCATTCACAACATATGCTTTAATTGTTTTTCTTGAAGTGACACATTTACTTCATTCATTTTAGAGAAAATGCCCACCAAATACTCAAGTCTGAACAATGATAGTTTGTCTGTTAGTCATTCTTTCAAATAAAAATGATGTTACATGAAGCAAAAAGCAACTAATTCAATTCACAATTCAAAGGTTCACATAAGTACTTTTCCTGGAGACAATGATCATACTTCAGAGTACACCGAAAGTATTTCATGTGTATTTCCCATTTCAACACACAAAACGTTAAAAACCCTTGCAGCCACGGGTCAAGATTTAATTACATGAATAATTTTTACAGCTTCATTAAGGATATTCTTAAATAAATTAGGCTTTTTTTTCTTTTTCCAACAAGCTTGGCAGTGTAATGTTTTCTACTTCATGAATTCAGTGACTACTATTACTGAGTTGTGTCCTTGCCTTAATTTGTGCTAAGTCCTAGAAATTTTACCTAACCTTTTTTTTATACCAAATTGGGTTCAGTATTAAAATGGAAATGTCAACACAGTGAAAAAAAATCTTAGAATTATCATAAAAATACTTTTGAGTCCATGTGTGCTCTCAAAGTGTCCCAGGGACCACCATGGGTTTACAGATCATACTCAGAGGACGACTGACCTAATATGATGCCAGCGTTGGTAACCACTGGCATAGTTAAGAATTGCAGCGCTTAGAATTTGTATTTTCAACCAGAAGTGTTTAAAAAAATTCCTCATATAGAAATAATATAAGCATATCTATTTATCTATGTTTTATTGGTAAGAATGATTTATTTATGTAACCCATTTCTGCTATTCAATAGTATAACAAATAATTGAATAACAACTTTATAAAAATGTTTACATATTTAATCACAAAACACTTTAATCATCTTGTGATGTTGCTACTACTCTATAATTTCAGAATAATTAAAACTAATATGCAGTGGCCACATGGTCCTAGAGACATGTAGGTAATACCTTGTGTTAAATATAAATGCGCCAAGTAAATCCGATATGGTACGCCTTTAGAATAAATGTAGGTGACCCCTCAAGGCTGATCGAACTCAGAAATAAACTCAACATACAACAGTACTTCTTGAACCAGAAATCCCTGAAGTTTTTATATTTTCAATTTGTATATAGTAGATGCTTAAGTGGAAAATAATATTCTAATGACTTACTAAGCAATGATGTCAGCACAGTTTCTATTCGGACAAAAATTCTGACTTTATGTTTCTTTTCTCTCCCTAGGTCTGATAGCTGTTGTGATTTTTATTTTGCTTTGCATCACTGCCATAGCTGTTCGCATTTATCAGCAAAAAAGGTTATATAAAAGAACTGAGGCAAAGAGGTCAGAGAATGTAGACAGTGCTGAGGCTGTTCTGAAAAGTGAGCTTAATATACAAAATACAGTCAATGAAAATCAGAAAGAGTACTTCTTCTGATTGGCAGCTATGATTTAACACATAATTATGACAGTTTGGTTTAATAGCCAGGGGCTCTCAGTGGACAAACAAATGCTCTTACACTGAATGTACAGGCAATGAGTTTGCAGCGCTGCCATCTTGCCATGTCCAGGCTTGGGGTGGCTCCAGGAAGCCTCGTCCAGTAACGTATTTCTCATAGCATTCATTTTATGGAACAATAAATTAGATATTGCTGTTAATTTGCAACTGTTCTGGTATGATCTAAAACAAGTTTAACCTGCTTAATGGCTACAGTTTTTACAAGTGAAAACTGTAGCCTTGGTCTCTTAACCATGTAATACGTAAGTTTTGTTATAGGTAAAAATTAAATTTGGACTCTAATGACCTTGCTTTATTTAAGAACATTTGCTGTGATTGCTTTTGTCTTCCCATGGTGTTATTCATAGACCTGGAAATGCTTCTCAGATCCTGTTTGGCCGGCGCTTGCATCTTCAGTGGCCGCAGGCATAATAAAGCCCCTTTATCTTTCTCTGTATTATATTCAATACAATACATCAATAGTCTCGAAAAATGTTTTGTTGTCGTTGCTTTGTTGGTTTTGCTCATTTTTCTATTTGTCTCTTCTTAATAATGTTGAATACATTTGGTTTTGAGTGTCAGACTTCAACTCTGAACGTGGAAGTTGTATTTCACAAGACCCAGAAAGTGCAGTGGTTCTTAGTATGTCATGACTTTCCTTTTAAAAAAGTTTTCCAGTTAATTTGCTACCATTGTTTGATGGTGACACTGCTTGAGACCCTGAGTAATGTCAGTTTCCCAGAGAATGTAAAATGTTTTCAACTAAACTTGTTGATATATTTAAAAATCTTAACACAGCAAAAAGTTATTTTTTAATTTACAACTGTAATACCTCAAATGAAATATACTTCTGATATTTTCCCCAAACCTTAGATCAGTTCTTTATTGGTTTGCATTTCTATTTTTCTAAAGTTTATCACAAAATTTGCCTTGATCTTCAATGATTTTACTTCACGAATCATATATTACCAAAAAAAAGAGGCAAATTGAAATATTGAGTTCCGTTTCCCAATCTGAAATATATACCCCATTGGGTGTACATTTTCTTGTGCATAGACTTCCAGTGCATACTTTCTGAAATCTGAGCTGCAAGCATCAGTGATCTACACAATCAGTAATTAAAGAATGCACACTCTACAGGGAGATAGCATCTTAAACGATCTGTGCTGAATTTGTCATTCTAGATACTTCTTATCTGAGATGATGGGGTTAATTTCTCAAAAGTTACCAAGAATCAATATGACTTGCTGAATGGTACATTCTGGTCGGGGTGTATTATACAGTAGGAGATCAAAGAATGATCAATAATCTTATGAAACCGTTACAATAATTAATCCTGAGACCATGCATACAGGAAACTATCTTTGAATTCCTTAAGCCAATTATACATTAAAGGCACTCTGTTATCCATACTCATACCTTCAAGTGCCTCCCAAGTAAATACTGGATTTCTTAGTTTGTCTACACAGAAGGATCTAGAAATACGTAAATTTAGCATTACTATTTTCTTATTTTCTGTATTTTCCTTGTTAACTCTTATAAAACCTGCCTCTCTTTTCTCATATTATTATATCCAAATTGATGTTTCTGAAAATGTCTGACTAAATCTTAAGAACCTGAATTAACATAGTAGTTTAGGAAGGATCAAGGATCTATGTTGGTAAATGGTATACTCTTTGTTTGAGCGGTAGACCTACGGTGACAAGCGAAGGATTTAACGTAGAAATGATGTTATTTATTTGATGCAAAACTGAATGCAAACATCATTATAGCTCTGAATCTTTTGCAAATGTTATTTAATAGCATTATTAACCTCATTGGTAGCTGGTCTCTAGAGAGGTTTATTGGTAAAGCCTCATAGTCCTCTGTGGTCTGCACTGCAAGAGACTCAACATTATGGCATCAAAATGCATTGGCACATACTATGCCATGACTTTGATTTCCTGATTTGTAATCTCTCCTTTTATTATTAATAAAATGCATTTTTGAACTAAAATGCAAAACAGAAGTCAATCATTTCAAAGTTATCTTTCAGTAGATGCTTTTGACCTTCAGAGTAACAGAGTCCCTCATAGAATTGGACAGCACTGACATTATTTAGTGTGAATACTTTTACAGATGAAAAGTCTAAGATGCAGTGATATCAATTGATGTTCCCAAGGGAACACGTATCAGTGTATAAGTGCTGAAGTTGTGACTACAATGTCCTTTTTACTCCATGTGATATTGATCTTAGTGCCTCCAAGACCTGGAATTTTGGCAATTATTTAGTGGTGTAGAAAAATCTGAAGGATCTTGATATTCTCTTTGTCACCAATGATCTATAGTTCTATAACTTATCCATTATCTTTTCTAAATGAACATCAACCTTGCTTTGATAGGTCATTGTTATTGATAGGCATGGCTTTCTTTAAAAATATTCGGTAGGTTTATGGTCCTTGACTGCAGGAGAGACAATTATTACTGCTGAAGCACTTTTACATATAGGCTTTGTGAAATCCACAATAAGAATTTGATGTCACTGAGGGAGTCATCAAATATTTTCCTCCTGATAAAAGGATAAATTAGACATATCCTAAATCAATGCATGTTCAAGCAAATCATTTGATTTTCAAACTTATGTCTCAACTAAATGATGAATAGACTAGATACCTTCAATATGTCCTGGTTGTCTTCCACTTTTCCAAAGTCTGGATGACAGAGAGTGGTAACATGGAGGATAAAGTTTAGAAGCTGAATGTCTTTGTGTTGGGGATGTGGGAGGGTGAACACATTTGTCTGTGCAAGAAATAAGGAGTGAAGATAAGGGAACAAAGTAGTGTGCATATCATGCGATTCAGAAAGCTGGAGCTTGGGTTGGAATATTTGCAAATAAAAATAAAATGAGCTGGAAAATAAATCTGACCCACAATTACAATGGATTTTCCAGTGTAATCTTTAAAAAATCTGTTTTTCTATTTTAACATTGTGTTTAAATATTTATTAAAAATACATGCACATAGTTTAAAAATTAAACAGCTCGAGAATGCTAACCAGAAGAAAATAGCTCTCCATTGCCAGATCCCCTCCCCATCACTTATAACTCTTTTAACTTCTCTTTAACTCTCTCTACGTTTATAAATAACCTGCTGCTATAGTGTGGGTTCCCTGGGAAGCAAACTTTGAGACAGAGATTACCTTGGAAGAAGCCTTTTAGGGCTTCTCACTGTAGAGATTAATGCCAGTCGAAGACAGGATGATGTGGGATGAGGCAGATGGAAAAGCAGACTGTGGTGTGGTCATAGCAAGGGATCAGCCGACCCTGCTGACATGATTCTTTAGTGATGTCCCGAGTTAGGGTGGAGGAGATGGGAATTTATATTCTTGTATTGACCAGTCATTGAATGGTAACTGCTTTGTGAAGTGGGCATGAACTTGGACAAATGGCCCTTTTCAGCTTAAGTGGTTCCTGAAGTGGGAGGACAAAAATGGCCAGCAGCTGGGAAGAATAAATTGCTGTCCTGAAATAAAGCATCTCAGTGGCACAGTACAGCATCTCTGAGGTTTTCCCCCCTGTGCTAATCAGATCCACCTACTTCATATGAGCTACGGGAGCGGCTCCTTCAGAACTCTAGTGAGCTTCATATCTTGGACAGGAGGGAGGAGTATGGAATAAATCATAGACCCTACCCCTGCAGTTAGTCTCTTGGCTGTGACTTGTACTCATCCTCTTCCTCCTCTACCATCCACACCTGGTTCTGATGTCTCCAGCTGACGACACTACCAGGTTTTTGAAACCTTGTGTACAATGACCTTCTCAAGGTATATCTGCTGCACTTTGGCAGTTACAATTAAAATTGATCAAAGAAATATCAACATGCAAATCACAATTCTCCCTTCCTCAGAGTGTAATGGCAGCTCCCTCACTTACTGTTGGTTAGACAGTTACTCCTCACATAGTCTCTCAGAAAATCTTAAATCAGTGAAAGATCCACATTACAGCAAAGGATAAGAGGGAGTGGGTACACTGCTACAAAATATGCTAGTCCTGTCACATACCGTACCACCACAGGGGCTCTGTAGACCCCTCAACAGGTAGTGGTAGCCGATGGCTTGCAGGTAGTAAAGGAAATCCATACCTGAAAAAAGTAATAATTATTTTTTTTAAGTTTTTATTTATTTATTTTTACTTATTGTACTTTAAGTTCTGGGGTACAAGTGCAGACATGCCCGTTTGTTACATAGATATACACGTGCCATGATGGTTTGCTGCGTCCATCACCTCATCATCTACATTAGGTATTTCTCCTAATGTATCCCTCCCCAATGTCCCCACCTGCTGTTATCCCTCCCACAGCCCCCCACCTCCCAACAGGCCCCAGTATGTGATGTTCCCCTCCCTGTGTCCATGTGTTTTCATTGTTCAGCATCCACTTATGAGTGAGAACATGCAGTGTTTTGTTTTCTGTTCTTGTAATAGTTTGCTGAGAAAGATGGTTTCCAGATTCATCTATGTCCCTGCAAAGAACATGAACTCATCGTTTTTGTGGCTGCATAGCCACAAAAACGATGAGTGTGTATGTGCCATGGTGTGTATGTGCCACATTTTCTTTATCCAGTCTATCATTGATGGGCACTTGGGTTAGTTCCAAATCTTTGCTATTGTAAACAGTGCCCCAATGAACATACGTGAGCATGTGTCTTTACAATAGAATGACTTATAATCCTTTGGCTGTATACTCAATAATGGGATTGCTGGGCCAAATGGTATTTGTATTTTTAGATCCTTGAGGAATCACCACACTGTCTTCCACAATGGTTGAACTAATTTACGCTCCCACCAACAGTGTAAAAGTGTTCCTATTTTTCCACATCCTCTCCAGTATCTGTTGTCTCCTGATTTTTAATAATTGCCATTCTAACTGGTGTGAGATAGTATCTCAATGTGGTTTTGATTTGCTTTTCTCTAATGACCAGAGATGATGAGCTTTTTTTCATATGTTTGTTAGCTTCATAAATGTCTTCTTTTGAGAAGTCTGTTCATATCATTCACCCACTTTTTGACGGGTTCATTGTTTTTTTCTTGTAAATTTGTGTAAGTTCTTTGTAGATTCTGGATATTAGCCATTTGTCAGATGAGCAGATTGTATAATTTTTTTCCAAATCTGTTAGTTGCCAGTTCACTCTAATGATAGTTTCTTTTGCTGTGCAAAACCTCTTAAGTTTAATTAGATCCGGTTTGTCTATTTTGACTTTTGTTGCCATTGCTTTTGGTGTTTTAATCATGAAATCCTTGCCCATGCCTATGTCCTGAATGGTATTGCCTAGGTATTTTTCTAGGGGTTTTATAGTGTTAGATCTTATGTTTAAATGTTAATCCATCTGGAGTTAATTTTTGTGGAAGGTATAAGGAAGGGATCCAGTTTCAGCTTCCTGCTTATGGCTAGCCAGTTTTCCCAACATCATTTATTAAATAGGGGATCCTTTTCCCATTACTTGTTTTGGTAAGGTTTGTAGCCTTGTAGCATAGTTTGAAG